CGATTTTCATATACACTATCTTCTGAATATTCGGCACTTAATTTTTGGTCAGACAAAAACTTAATTCGAACTGAAGCTGCAGTTATTCTCATAGATCAGATTTTCTACCAAATAAAAGTATTTTCAATAGTTGAGATCATGAGTCACTTGAAGCTAGATCATCATGGAAAATCTGGAAGCATTGGACGGTCATTTTGTCCAATTATGGGACTCCTCAGCAGTGCGCATCCACGATTCCCCCCTGCGAGATTCGAACCCAGGTCCTATCACTCGCGCGCGAGCGTGTAACCTCTAAACATCTGAGCCGGCATCCAACGGTGTTAATGTCTAACTTCAACTAATCCACGAAATTGAGCAACACATACACCATTGTCATCAGTGAGTTACTATCTCACAACAGACCAGGTTGAACTCCACTGGTTACAGCTTCTCACCAGAACTCCACGACATACTTCTTGTAACCTAGTGGTTAAGCGCTCGCGCGCGAGAAGGAATAGGTCCTGGTTTCGGATCTCGCGGGGCGGAATCGTGGATGCGCACTGCTGAGGAGTCCCATAATTGGACGAAATGACCGTCCAGTGCTTCCAGATTTTCCATAATGGTCTAGCTCCAAGTAACTCATGATCTCAACTATCCACATAAACCCATTCTGATACAAATAAAAATATTTATTAATCCAATTTTTCTTAAGAAATGTTTTGAGTTTATCAATGCCAAATCGCATAAAATTTATCGAAAGTTTTAATGCATTTTCCAAAGCAATGAGCGACAATGAATCATGCAGCTCATTGATTAATTTATCTTCGTGAAGGGGAAAAATACAAAAAGCAGTCAATTTGTACGATATATTAAAGAAATCAAGCTTATAAATAAATACATTAATTTTCATGTACATTAGGACTGTAGATCTCTACATTATTAGCAAACGATTTCATAAGTCTAAGATTGATGTTAAAAGGATTCTCATACAAAAAGTATGTCAATAAAGACTATGTTTTTCATATATTGAAATTTCTGATGGCTGTTTGTATAGTCATGTTTTTTAAAGGATCAGCATACATAAGATTATTTTACGTCTTCTTGGTGTGGCAGATAGAGTAAGAGCGGGAATTCCATTATTATTATGTTCCACTGAAAAAAACTGTTTTTATGGTTCATTAGTTGTAATGATTACTCACTACTAATGTGGAGATAGGTCTGTCAAACTTATTTTTGTAAATAATTTTTATTATTATTTGTATTCATTTTGTCAACCTTTCACTGTGTGTACATTTATTATTAAATCATTGTACCTGTTGTTTTAGTAAATGACCTTGATCACTTTTTCCGTTGTGATACTAACATAGCGTGACACTTTCTGTGATTGTCCCAAATACACTACTACACACATGCCTCTCGTTCTAAATTCACTTGCATTTGTGTTAACTGAAGTCTAAAGCAAGTACCATTTATCTTTACAGACGATAATTGGAATATACCATATTTATTACTGAATCATATCATTGGGGAACCCATCACACTCGCAGGAATTATTAATCATCTATAATTGTGGATATTTAACACCAGATCAATTTGGAACACGCGCTCTCCTGGTAAAATAAGTAACGTTCCTTATTTCTATTGTGTTTATGACATTTAACTTATATATCTTTAAATATTGCTATTTGTTATAAATAACTACTATTACCTTTTGGATTAATATATTATCTGGTCCACCACAATTATTTGGTGAGCCTAGAGTGTATTTTAGTTTTATTGTTTATATTTCTACTTGAAACACTAGTTTTTTTTATATCATGAACTCTCCAAATAAACTTATAGATATGGAATGTCCCCCAGTGAAACCCCTTGACTCATTACATACAGACAATAATATTTTAAGTTCAGTGAATGCCATTACTGAGTCAAGATTACCACATAATGTGAGACAAATCCTTAGCGTCTCAGGGCGAACTATCGCTCTCGAGGATTTAGCCGACATGGTGGACAAGATGATGGAGATCTACCCCGACAAGCATTGTCTAAACGCGATACAAACTTCTGGTAATGACGATACGAACACAACACTCAACATTCAGCAACAATTAACACAGTTAACAACTCAGTTAGCGTCATTACAGGCTACTATTGCGAGTATCCATTCTCGACCTAATAGATCCATTTCTAGAAAAAGAGCAGAGTCAAGACATCGTTCAAGGTCTCCCAAGAAGACAGTCGGCATTTGTTGGTATCACCAAAAATATGGCACCAAAGCACGGCGTTGCACAAGACCGTGCACATTTTCCGCAGCGGACTCAGAGAATCAGGGAAACGAACTGGCCAGACAGTAATGGCGGCGTCTGCTACTGGCCAACACACTAGCCGCCTCTTCTACATCAGGGATCATATTTCTGGCTCAGACTTTTTAGTCGATACTGGAGCAGAAATCAGCATAATCCCATTAGAGCTTTCACGACGGCGACACACTACACACAGCAAAGTGTCACTACAGGCGGCCAATCAAACACTTATCAAAACCTACGGAGAACAATCTCTCATTCTAGATCTCGGTCTTCGGCGAAGATTCACTTGGGTCTTTATAGTCGCTCAAATCAAACGACCTATTCTTGGAGCTGACTTTTTAAGTGCTTACAAATTATTAGTAGATATGAATAACAAGAGGTTGATTGACAAATGCACACGTTTACAAGTGAATGGTACGCTTGCTACTGACTATGAGACTTACGGTGTGCATATAGTAAAACCGGAAAACAAACTTTTCACCAACATTCTGAAGGAATACGAATGTATCACAAAAGTAAATTATCAGACGGAACCCACAGCACACCACGTACAGCATCATATCATCACTACGGGATCACCCATTGGTGCTAAAGCAAGGAGACTTCCACCACACAAGTTACAGATTGCTAAAAGAGAATTTGAACATATGATGCAACTCGGAATAATTAGACAATCAAACAGTCCTTGGGCTTCGCCGCTGCACATGGTTCCAAAGAAGGACCAAGATTGGCGACCATGTGGAGACTACCGAAGATTAAATAATCAAACTATCCCGGATAGGTACCCCATACCGCATATACACGACTTCTCCTTAAATCTACATGGTAAACAATTTTTTTCGAAACTTGACTTAGTAAAAGCCTATCATCAAATTCCAATGGCGCCCGAAGACATTGAAAAAACAGCCGTAATCACTCCTTTTGGTCTGTTTGAATTTTTGAGGATGCCATTCGGGCTAAAAAACGCCGCACAAACGTTTCAGAGGTTTATGGACGAAGTTACACGAGGATTAGACTTTGTATTCGCCTATATCGACGATGTTCTAATCGCTAGTTCATCACTCGAAGAGCATATCCAACACTTACAGATCCTCTTCGAACGTTTCAAAAAACACGGTGTTGTTATTAATCCTGCTAAATGTATATTCGGTGTTCCAGCCTTAGAGTTTTTAGGACACTACATCAACTCCCAAGGCATTAAACCTCTCCCAGAGAAAGTCGAAGGCATCATTAGCTATCCAGAACCAACCTCTGTAAAATCACTACGACGTTTCCTTGGGACATGCAACTTTTATCGACGATTCCTACCGCATTGCGCTGAAGTACTACAACCGTTAACTGATTTACTGAAAAGCGATAAAGCAGGCACAAAGAAAGAAAAGAACCAAATGTTCAAATTACCTCCTGATGCCAAAGCAGCATTTGAGAAAGCTAAATCTATGATAGCCAACGCCACGATGTTACAACATCTAAATACTGACCCCACAACCCATCTGATTCTGTGCACGGATGCTTCACAGAAAGCCGTCGGGGCAGTACTGCAACAGCGGGTAAACGACACAATTACCCCCATCGCCTTTTTCTCGAAGAGATTATCGTCAGCACAAGAACGTTATAGCACTTTTGGACGTGAACTTTTAGCTATGTATCTAGCCGTCAAACATTTCAACTTCTTGCTACAGGGTCGTGATTTCATCATTATGACAGATCACAAACCCCTTTGCCATTCCTTCAGCACATCGTATGACAAACATTCTCCACGAGAAGCAAGACAACTTGATTATATCTCTCAATTTACTACAGACATCCGCTTTATCAAAGGTAACATGAACATTGTCGCAGATGCACTATCTAGAAAGGACATCAATATGATGGTACACAACCATAACATCAGTCTAGAAACTTTAGCTAAACTCCAAGTAGACGATGCAGAATTGAAAGCCTGCCAAGAGAAGTCTAACTTGAATCTTAAACCAATACCCATGCCTTTCTCAGATACTTTCATCATGTGCGACACCTCAACAGGCAACAACCGCCCTTTCGTCCCATACGCTTGCCGACGAGAAATATTCCGACACTTACACGGTCTTTCACATCCAGGAATCCGAGCCACAACTAAACTTATTACCGAACGTTTCGTGTGGCCAAAGATTAACTCAGATATAAAACGATGGACTCGAAGCTGCCTACAATGTCAACGCAGCAAAATTCAAAAACACACAGTCAGTCCTGTTGGGAAGTTCCCTTTGCCGGAGAAGCGTTTCCAACACATCCATCTAGATATAGTCGGTCCCTTGCCGCCATCAAAATCATTCACACATATACTCACATCGGTGGACAGATTCACAAGATGGGCTATAGCATGTCCCATCGCTGACACTTCTGCAGAGACAGTAGCCGCTACATTCCTTGACCGATGGATATCAAACTATGGAGTACCATCTATCATCACTACAGATCGTGGTCCCCAGTTCCAGTCTATCTTATTTCAGGAATTCACAAGACTTCTGGGTGTGAACCACATTAAAACGACAGCTTATCATCCAGTGGCTAATGGTCTGGTCGAAAGATTTCACCGCCAATTGAAAAGCGCACTGATGGCACAAACTGATACAACAAAATGGAGTGACGCACTACCACTTGTACTCCTGGGAATTCGTTCGACCATCAAGGAGGATTTAGGATGCACTTCAGCTGAACTAGTTTACGGTACTACATTAACATTACCGGGTCAGTTGGTCGATCAAGAATCAATAATGTCAAATGATCCAAATGGTTTCGCAAGCCGACTATTACAAACGATGCAACGCATTAGAGCGATACCTCCGCGTGAACATAACAACCGCATACAACTTGATAAACATCTAGAGGCCTGTAAATTCGTTTTTGTTCGAGTCGACGCAGTGAGAAAACCATTGAAACAACCGTACGAAGGACCTTACAAAGTAATTAAACGAACAAACAAACATTTCATCATCAATAAAAATGGAAGGAATGAGACAATTTCCATAGACCGAATAAAACCGGCTTTCTACGAAATTCTTCAAGACGCGGAAGACAATACTACGAACGAATCACCACTCCCATCTATCGCTAAGAAACAAGAGGAAAAACAAAAACTTAACAGTACCCCCTCTTGTTTAACACGTTCTGGGAGACTTGTAAAAAAACCGAAACGTTATGTACATTTCGCCGTATAAAAAAAAAAACTACAACCAATCAAAACAAACAATCATCAAGGACCGACAATATCAATCCTACCCAATATGTTTTTGTTTTTTTTCCTTTTTTCACAGTGTACATAATTAATCATTTTTTTTCCACAATTATTCGTTTCGTCACATTATATATATATATATATATATATATATATATATATATATATATATAAATTTTTTTTGTTACAATAATAAACGAGTAATTACGTATTCAATGTACACAAATAAACAGTTCATTTTTTTTTTGTGTGTGTGCGTGTCCGTCATTAACAATTTTACACATTATCATTGACAGTGTTTTCATTTTTTTTCTGTTTGTTACGCTATGTTACATTACTGCTATCCTCAAACGCTAACACAACGCATTTTACTAACGCATATATCATGTCCATCTCCACAATTTTTGTTGTTTATAACTGTAAATATTATTTTTGTACGTATGTATATATCATATTCTGACATTTTTTTTTTATTACAACCAGTTTTACCTCCGGAAACTCTGGGGGGAGCTATGTGGAGATAGGTCTGTCAAACTTATTTTTGTAAATAATTTTTATTATTATTTGTATTCATTTTGTCAACCTTTCACTGTGTGTACATTTATTATTAAATCATTGTACCTGTTGTTTTAGTAAATGACCTTGATCACTTTTTCCGTTGTGATACTAACATAGCGTGACACTTTCTGTGATTGTCCCAAATACACTACTACACACATGCCTCTCGTTCTAAATTCACTTGCATTTGTGTTAACTGAAGTCTAAAGCAAGTACCATTTATCTTTACAGACGATAATTGGAATATACCATATTTATTACTGAATCATATCATTGGGGAACCCATCACACTCGCAGGAATTATTAATCATCTATAATTGTGGATATTTAACACCAGATCAATTTGGAACACGCGCTCTCCTGGTAAAATAAGTAACGTTCCTTATTTCTATTGTGTTTATGACATTTAACTTATATATCTTTAAATATTGCTATTTGTTATAAATAACTACTATTACCTTTTGGATTAATATATTATCTGGTCCACCACACTAACTTAGTCAAAGATTTTACATCTATTTTGATCATAGAAACGTGTAAATAGAGAAAGTATGTTATATATTCCATTTAAATTTGCTTAGCAAGAAGTATCCAACTCATACTTTGTGTATGAATATATGTCTAACCATAATGTGGAACTTTTATGGTGATTCATTTTCGGAAATTTCGTCCCTATGAATAGCTAAGGAAGTTCCATTCACATATACTGTTTTTTCCGCATAAATATACTGGTAGATTGGTTTCTTTTCAAAATACAGTGTCTGTAAACTAATCTCGTATCCCTAATAATTCCTTTGTTTTCTGGTTGTTATGATATAACCTTATAAGTATTGTACAGAATCGTTTATTTACTTGTGATCAAAAGCAAACTGAGTTGCTTTAAATGTGTACATAGCTGGGTATTATCCTGACAATTTTTAAACTACATTATCAGCAGAGCATAGAGTATGCAAGATTTCAGATATTTTGATAATACAATTAGCACACTCACACACTACATATTGTTATTATTATTGTGACCTTATTATTATAAACCATTGATAAATACATATCACTACTATTAAGAGTATTTTCACACTAATTCATAAAAAATTGATTTCGTTTGATTGACTGTACGTTTGTGATTGCAATGCCAATATGTGATACTAAACTTTATTTCACGTAAGTAACCATCGTGATCATTTTAGTAAAATGTTCACGGAATTAGTTTCTAAAATGTGAGCGATTCAATTAATTACTAACATAAGAGTTAAAAATTACGTGATTATTGATCATGTGTACACATATTAACTGCGTTAGTCACGTTACTAGGATTATAAAAGTACAAATGATTTAATGTTTGTTGTATTATTGAACAGAAAGCTATTCCATAACATTTTCGATGTCCGTAGTTAAGCTGAAATCAATGAACAAACACAAACTATGTCGGATTAGCGAATTTTAATTTATGTTTAATCATAGCATAGTGCATTTGAGCAATCATTTAATGAGTGATTTGTCTAAGCTAGCTATTAATGACAGTAAATTACAGACACAGTGACAATGACAAATCCAGTATTTACATGAAATAATTCGTAAGTGTATATTTATTTGGTTTTAGATTATGGTCTTCTTTCCTGAATTGTAATGAATGGTAGGATTTCAAGAAACACAGATTTTTACTGTGTAATCTGTAATTCTTTTGTACAAACTCCTCATGTTTTTTATAATGTCAGCACTCACTAGAATTATTAAACCTAACTGTTATGCTGTGGAATCGATCTATAAAACTCGGTTATTACTTAGGGGTGGATGAAATGACATTAATTATGACTCAGTAACTTATTAGTTTTCTATAAGTCAGTTACAGCCTGTTTAATTAAATAGTAACTTTCCAACAACAACACTAAGTGATACCATTTCGAATCTCTCAGGAAGTACAAACTGGTTCAAGGTTACAAATACACCTGGTTGATATACTCATATTAGCGTTAAATCTGGGACTAAAGCTGTCTATTGATTACTCCGGCTAACTTACATTACAATCATCAATATGCCTCCCAGAAGTTCCAGTTCATTTGGAGTTCGAGGACTAGGAGTTATGGAGATAGTCACGTCAAACTTATTTTGTAATTAGTTTTTGATACTATTCGCATTCCTTACATTAATTTTCGCAACTTGTACATTTACAATGAGTGACTGTAAAACAGTTGTTTAAAATCACATTATCTTGAATTCTTTCTTTTTCCGATTTCAATCCCCTTAGCACGACACACTAATAACTGCTCACAAATACATTGCTACATATATGTTTGTTGTTGTGATAACTGAACTCTAACGTATGTATTACCTATATTTACAGACTACAGCTATATTCCCGTTATATACTTCAGCTGGATATGCAGCTCGAATTCGTACAAGTTCAAAGTCAACGGGAGAGTAATAGCTGTCATTAGCACAGTTAAACAAACGAGCACAGTAAAACAATCACTGGTACAATTGGTTATAATAATAATTGTTTTCATTGAACCAATCGCGTTCTGTTGACAAAAGTAGGTCACTGCAAATGCTCCCACAACATTACTTCACTTGTCCGATCTCATTATAAACACAGTCAACGCCATATCCGAATTCAAACACTGGGTATATTGTGCTAATAACACAAGGGTCTAGTTTGCACAAGTCGAAGCCCCGTTCATATATCAGGGATTCCGTTCTCAAGCAACAAAGTATCCACAGGTATTGGGCACGTTCCCCATTAAGATCGCTACAGATGTTGGAGACTTGATCGACCAAGTGCCAGAAAATGAGCCATATAAAAAACTAAAAGCAGTGATGATGCAACGTGCATCATCCCCTAATGAAAAGAGACTACAAAAACTGTTGACCGCATGCGACCTGCGGGACAAGAAACCCTCGCAAATTTTACGACATGTGAAGCAGCTAACCGGTCCATATAAAATATAGGAAGCTCTATTGAGACAAATGTGGCTACAACGTTTACCACATAATATAAGACAGATTTTTAGTGTGTCGGAGAATTTAATTACTCTGGAAGATTTGGCAGTTAAGGCTGACAAAATAATGGTGATTTACCCAGATAGCCATAACGTAAACATGGTACAAGCTGTTGGCATATCGGATACAAGTAGCACAATCACACCTCAACAACATCTAACTGAGTTGTCAAATAAGCTCGCATCATTACAGGTAACCACAGTGGTGATCCCAACGCGCGAACACGAAATAATTTTAGACGATATAATCTAATTCCGAAAATACAACGCGCCCTGTCTCAATTCGGATAATCATAATTGAGGGTTTATTACATCACTATTTCAATTACACTTGCATTATCTCACAAACATTATTGAACGTAACGATAATATTCATGATAAATAAAAGTATTTCACAAACAATTGATATATTGGTGCAATTTAGTGAGTGCGTTTTATGTTTTAAATTGTACCATTTGTTATTATCATTGTTTTTATCGATTCATTTTTCTTTGTGACAATTACATTATGTTTATGAACTATTTAATTTTTATGTCTTCAAATAACGACGCAATAGGCCTTCGACAAACACCGTCCGTGAGGCCACTAATCTGACTATATCCCCTTTTAGATCACTGACCCTCAAGTTTAGTTTATTAAACTTGAAGATTACTTTGTAGCTTATCGTTTTTACTTATAGTGAGATAAATCTGGTCATGCAAACTCACTACTTACGAATGAAGTAACAGACAGTGTGCGAGAGGTCTTAGCTAAGCCGGACGCAGTAAAGCTTTACGTGTTAAAGCAGGCAGTGATTAAAGCTGTCTCGTTAACCGACTGGCAAGCTGTCAAGCAGCTGCTCAGTCAGGTGCAAATCGGATATAGGACTCCACTGCAGTTAAAAAATATATGTGCAGCATAATTAGAGACAGAAAGGTAGAAAAAACATATTTTATCAGTTGTGGTTATGACGACTCCCATTGAGCGTGCAGCAGATCCTAGCGGTTGGGGATAGAGATGTTGACATAGACCATGCAAATTTAAACGATTCCACCGTTTGTCGGTAACGGCCGAGACAACTAGCATAGCTCCGAGAAAGTGTCGTTAATTTTATGTCCAGGACACAGTAACAAGCGCTCAATTGTTAGAAGACATGAGGCAGAAATTAACGTCGTGCCTCCAGTGAGCAACGTTAGATGAAATATTAATAAAGTTCTGACGCTTAAGACAGTAAACAAATTCGACTTAAAAGCACATGGGAACCGAAAAGTAACCTTGAATTTCGGTCTTGGTGCTTCATTATTTTGGGAATTCGTTAGAGCAGATGTATCCACACCTACAATTGGCATCGATTTCTTAAAGAATTTCAACTTACCAGTAGATTCCCAACAAAACCGGCTCGTGATTGGAGACCATTATCTAGTGATAAAAGGAGTGACCACCGATCACGTATCCATAAATTTAGTAGTGTCAAAAAACAAAAGAGAGCCATATAGATCGCTTCTAGATGA